TCCATTCCTGGTTAGTCATCTATAATCATAATGGATAAAGCTCGTGGTAATAGCACCCAAAAAGCATTGGGATATCCCATCTATCACGCAACATTCAAAACACCAAAGTTAAACAAGTTGACCATCATGGAAAATCAAAACAAGGGTGTGGGGGTGAGTGCTTAAGCCCACAATGTCTCACCTCCTACTGCCTTTCACTGTCTGCAGCCAGATGTGGGAAGGTAGTTACCCTTAAAGTTATTTAAGTTTTAAAAGTAGAAACACAACCACCCACAATTTCTACAGTATAGAACTTCCAACCCACCACCCTTATAAAGGTCTTAAAGAATGAAAGTAAGAAAACTTACTAATAAATTGTCAAAGATTTATTCAAGTATAACATGGGAAAGCTGAGTCAGGCCCAGCTACTTGAAGTTGGTATTTCCAGTCCTGGCATACTAAATAATAAACTTTTTGTTTAAAACTAAGTTAGTTATTCAAGGTCACCCTTGATAAACTAATGAACTCTAAGTAATGAGTTTTCCATCACTGAAAGTTAATTATTTAAAATAAATTTATATTTATTATAAAAAATAATAAAAAATGAAACTTAGTTGTATTTCTCTATATTCATTATTTTTTAGTTTATTTATGAATAAGGAAACATTATCCATAAAATTTACTATTACATTCCATTAAAAATCTCTTCAGTTGTGATATAATAATCCCTTTTAACAATACATTCATAATAATACTATGGGGAGTAGGTAAACTAAGGATGGAAATATTAAATTTCCTTCTTTTATTAAAAATGGTCAACTGAACTCTGCCTTCTACAAAATAAATGTCTATGTCTAGATAATTAACATTAGAATCATTCCTATTGCTTTTGTCTATTGCTAGTTCCTTAGGATATATTATATTTGGGGCAAAGTCTAAGTTATTTATTGAAATTAAATCATCAATATATCAGAATGTATAGTTAAATGAATTGGTATTTAAACATTTTTTAAACTAAATATACAAATAACAAATATTGTAGAGATATACAACTAGGGTTCTTTTTTACTATTTTTTATAATAAATATAAATTTATTTTAATTAACAAACTTTCAATGATGGAAAATTCCTTATTAAGAGATCATTAGTTTATCAAGGGTGACCTTGAATAACTAACTTAGTTTATTATTCGGTATGCCAGGACTGGAAAAACCAACTTCAAGTAGCTGGGCCTGACTCAGCTTTCCCATGTTATACTTGAATAACTCTACAACAATTTATTAGTAAGTTTTCTTACTTTCATTTTCATTCTTTAAGACCATTATAAGATCTATACTGTAGAAATTATGGGTGGTTGTGTTTCTACTTTTAAAACTTAAATAACTTTAAGGGTAACTGCCTCCCCGCATCTGGCTGCAGACAACAAAAGGCAGTAGGAGGTGAGACATTGTGGGTTTAAGCACTCACCTCCACACCCTTCTTTTGATTTTCCATGATGGTCAACTTGTTTAACTTTGGTGTTTTGGATTTTAATTGGATATCCCCAATGCTTTTTGGGTGGTATTACCACAAGCTTTATTCGTTATGACTAACCAGGAAAGGAAATAAATGTATAAAATGATTATAAATTATTTGTTGTTTAATAGTGATGATCTAAATTGCCTATTAACAATAATTGTAATTGATAATTAATGAGCTATTTATCTATATATATAACAGCAATCCTCACCTCCAAAAGACTGGAAGAAAGAGACGATGTTTTGTAACTATCTAACAGTCCCTGTAACCTCTGATTTTCTAACTCTAGCTGGAGTGCTCTAGTCTGGGCATCTGTGTTTAGTTGTTCATGAAGACTGTTTTCTAGTGCTAAATGAGAAGGGAACAAATATATTTCATATGTAAGAAAAAGTAGTCAACTTTAATTTCCTTCTTTCTCACTTGAACTCAAATAAAAATTTAGATGTCAAAAAAGCAATATGTTATGAGAGATAATATTAAACAATATTTTAAGAGAAGTGTTAGTATTAAACAATATTTTAAGAGAAGTGTTAATATTAAACAATATTTTAAGAGAAGTATTAGTATTAAACAATATGTTATGAGAAGTATTAGTATTAAACAATATTTTAAGAGAAGTATTAGTATTAAATAATATTTTAAGAGAAGTGTTAGTATTAAACAATATTTTAAGAGAAGTGTTAGTATTAAACAATATTTTAAGAGAAGTGTTAGTATTAAACAATATTTTAAGAGAAATATTAGTATTAAACAATATTTTAAAAGTATTAGTATTAAACAATATTTTAAAAGTATTAGTATTAAACAATATTTTAAAAGTGTTAGTATTAAACAATATTTTAAGAGAAGTATTAAACAATATTTTAAGAGAAGTATTAAACAATATTTTAAGAGAAGTATTAAACAATATTTTAAGAAAAGTGTTAGTATTAAACAATATTTTAATAGAAGTATTAAACAATATTTTAAGAAAAGTGTTAGTATTAAACAATATTTTAAGAAAAGTGTTAGTATTAAACAATATTTTAATAGAAGTATTAAACAATATTTTAAGAAAAGTGTTAGTATTAAGCAATATTTTGAGAAAAGTGTTAGTATTAATTGACTTTCATTTGTGATGCAGCTAGATCAAACAAATATTCATAATCAAGGAGAACAAACTTTTCTTTTAATGAATGAATAACATTTGAATGCAGTAGCAAAATTGTTATTGAGGAAAGACTCCATATCAACACACATGTTCAACATGGTAAAGTTATCAAGCAAACTCCCTATTAACACACACGCATGTTAGATATGGTAAGATAATGTTACAAAGTAAAGACTCCTTATTATCATACACACACACACGTTTGACACAGTAACACAATGGTACATTCAGGAGTCAAGTCAGACTTTCAAAACAGGCAGAAGTGAATTTTCCCTCTAGGTAACAAGAGGGAGAAGTTTTTGAATAAATGGAGACTTCAAATTTCTCTATCAAATGTTGTTTATTTATGGGTTAATTATTTCAATTACATGTATGCAGTGCTTTATTTGTAAAAAAAAAAGTGCTGGTATTCATATATATAAGAAATTAAGAGATGAAAACATACTGAATTACCTTTTTATAGAAAATTCCAAATTTTTATCATGTTATCATCTGATGTGATATCCCGACTTTGTTCCTTGAAGTTTTCGAAGCAACCATGATTCTACGTATTATTTTGGGTCAAAGCATGGAAGGGGCGGTCCAAATGTGCCAAAATGTTTTTTTGTCATCAACGAAGCTCTGGTTGGGGTAACAATCAAATTCATCTGCGAAAACCCTCGTTCACATTCACTGGAAGAAATGGGAATAATACTCGGAGCATTTTTCAAATGCTGCAATTTTTCCAGATCCATCTTTCAAAATAAATACTGACAAAATCCACAAATCATATCTCTTTCATTTAGCTAAAGTCTTATTGATAATTTTTCTGACCTCCACCTCACTGAATGTTAAAGGAGCATCAACATTTTCAGGCCAATATTTTTTATCAAGCACGCCTGCACACTGTGCTATATTGCCATCTTCACTAAAAAGCAACCTATTTTCGATCGATTTTTTCAAGGTTCTGTAAAAAGCTTCCGGATTAATTGGAGGATCCTTTTTGCAATCTTTGTTGTAAATTGAAACTCCCTGAAATTGAAGATTTTTGGCAGCTTTGGTGGCATTTTTATAATATGGGCTTAGAATCGTCTTTCTTCAAACATTTGTACAAGAGCTTTTATCTTTTGATCTGCCTTGTGCAAATCTATATCACACTCTTATAAGTCCAAACTCAATTCGGATAATTCTTGGAGAGCATCACACATCAATCCCAGATCCAATAGAAATTCTGTGCTTGTAATTTTTTGCTGTAATCCCTCCTATGCACAATACTCTTTTTTGTCTCTTGTTGATGATAAGTTGCACTAATGCTTCATAGTTTTCCCAAACAGCTGAAATTGACCAAAAACTACATGCCACCCATCAAGTGCTTAAAATTTGGCTAATTTTTAAAAGTTAAATCTCCAGCAAGCAAGTTCCCTCACACTTTAAGTTCTCTGCTATTATTAGGCAACACATGATACAAGACATAAAGTTTATCAATAAATGCTTTAAATCTGTTGATCCCCGCGTCACCAACTGACAGTTCTAATCTATGATTAGCACAGTGGCACACAATTACAGAAGGAAATTGGTCTTTCAACAGTTTCTTAGCTCCTTTTACTCCCCAGCATCATGGCTGCACCATCACACAAAGTACATAACTTTTCAGGTAGTCTTCATTCATTTTGTAAGACTGAAGACAATTGAGTAAAGAATCAAAAATTCCTTTTGCAGTAACATTTTCAAGGTCAATCAAGTGCAAAAATAAATTTACCGGTGAGTTCATTCCATTATCAGGATACAGATTGGAAATACACTATTAAGATAGATTTTTTACTCATTGAAGTTGACTCATCGATTATTAATGAAATTCTAGTTTTGATTTAGCAACTATATTAAGTAATTTTTTTTTCATTTCATCACTAATGTGATTCACAATATTAATACATGCATCTGATGTTTGAAGGATACAGCCGATGTCAATTCCATTTAGTTCTTGTAAATCTATTTCAGATTCAAAATTATGAAAGGATTGGTTTTCTTTTGCTACCTTATATGGTGTGCAAAAAAATTATTGCAGTAATCACTTTTTTGCGAGATGATGCTTTCAAACACACATTTTCAGTGGTCTCTTTGTCAGCTTCAGCCAACAATTTTACCATAGCTTTATGTCCCGCAGTTTCTTTGTGATCGAAAAGTTTTTTCTGCAAAGACAGAAGCTGTTGTTGTTATTTCATTGATGACTCTTATAACCAATAGAAAGAGTAAACTGTACACTCTGCCATAGCCAATACCAAGCCCAGTTGAGAAAGGTTGCTGTCAGGGCTTGAAAACAGAGCATAAAACTTTTCACAATAAATATGGAAAAGAGTAATGGAGTGTGACATACAGCTAGGGCATCCACCAAGGAGAGGAGCACTGCTATCCACTAGGCAGTGTGATGAGTTGGCAAGGGGTACCACAAAGGTGGCTAAAGAAGAAAGCTGGGACACTAAGGATAGTAAGATGGAAGAGGCAAAAACTAGCAGGTGCACTAGAAAGAAGAAAAGTGAAGATTGCATGTATTCAAGAGACCAAGTGGAAAGGTCAAAGTTCTAAAGAGATAGGTGTGAGCTACAAGCTGTTCTACTCAGGTAGATCAAAAGGAAGGAATAGAGTTGGAATTGTGTTAAATAAAGAATTCAAGAGGAATGTGGTCGAAGTAGAAAGTACATCGAACCGACTCATTTGTGTAAAGGTTACAAGTGAAGAAGGGTTACTGAACATAGTGCAGGTTATGACCAGCAAACAGGATGTTCTGACAAGAAGAAAGAGAACTTTTGAAGAGAAGCTAAAAGACATGATTATACGGATATCAGGTAGTGAGATGTTGATAATGGGAGCTGACCTGGGAGAAAAAGCAGATGGGTTTGAGGGGAGAAGATATAGAATAAGAAATGTGGAAGGAGAGAGACTGGTAGAAATGCAGAGAGTATAAATTTGTTCCTCACAAACATGGGGTACCAAAAGAAAAAGAAGCACCTTATCCCATACAAGAACAAACAAAATAAGATGCAGATTGACTACATCTTAGTCCAAAGAAGGGACAGAAAAAAGGTGTTGGGTATTAAGGTGATAACAGGAGAAGCAATGGCACACCAACATAGAATGTTAATAATGGAGATGGAGAATAAGAGGAACAAGATGAAAGGAATTGAGAAGATTAAAGTGTGAAGGATAGAAAGAGAAAATCAAGAGCAATACAGAAAGGCAGTGATAAAAAAAGACTGCTGGAAATGTAAAGAGTTACTGAAAAGTACTAAAGATTTAAGAGGTAGAAAACATTTTTGGCAAACCAAATGGGCAAGGACCCAAACAGATGAAAGCATGGTAGTGAAGCAAAAAGTACAGCAAACCATTAAGGAAAAGAAAGAGGCCTTCAAAGAATAGCAGATAAAGGATGACGACTCTGTAAGAATGGTGCACAAAAAAGTGTGGCAAAAAACAAGGCAATAAAAATTGGTATGACAACATGGAGACATCAGAAGCAGAGAAGAAGGTATACAGAATAACCAAGCAAAGGGAAATGGCAAAGAGAAATATCACAGTGATCAAAATAATTAAGGACAAAGAAAGCTCCTGATGAATGAAAATGTAGTAAAACAAAAATGAAAATGGTACTAATGAACATCAAAAAATGAGTCAGAAGACAAGAAGACTGAAGTAGACCAGAGGACAAAGAAGCAATCAGAAAAACAAAGATAGTCAAGACAGGAGGTCCATCAAAGATTGTCACTGATATGGTCAAGGCACTAGCAAATGATGGAGGGAGTTGAGTATGTATGGGCCTTGTTGAAGAACATCAAGAGGAAAGAGCAGATTCCCACAGAATAGAGAGAGAGCCTATTGACACCCATCTACAAACAGATGCTACTGAGTGTGAACTAGAGGAATAAAACTGGTGGAGCATCTGTTGAAAATGAAAGAAAAAGTACTGGGAAAGAGAATAAGAGACCCCTATGGGAACTATAATTTGTTGATAACTTTGCTCTAACAACTGAAAGTGAACAGGAGTTAATAATGTAACTTAATTGTGGAAGAAGAGTGTAGAAAGAAGAGGCTTGAAATTGAATGCCAGAAAAATGGAAGTCATGATGAATGAACAAGGTAAGAAGAAGGTCAAGATCACAGATGTAAATATGAAGCCACTGGAACAGGTAAAAGACTTTAGGTATTTAGAAAGTACAATCCAAAGTGAAGGAGGAAATGAGAAAGCTGTGACAGGTAAAATTCAGGTGGATTGGAAGAAATGGAAGGAAGTAGCCACAGTCATCTTTGACTAAAGGACATCAAGGGCACTGAAAGCCAAAGTGTATAAGATCATGATTAGACCAGTACTTCTCTAAGGAACCAGGACCTGGACCCTGAAGAAGAAGGATTCTTGATAAGAACAGAAATGAGAATGCTGAGATGGCTGTTGGGGGGATTTTTTAAGGAGAGGAGAACAAATAAGAAAATTAATGAAATGGCAGAAGCTTGTGGAATAGAGGAGCGAGAGAGAAGTGAGCTGAGGAGGTTAAGGTGCTTTGATCACATCAAAAGAAGAGGAGAAGAAGAACATGCAATAAGGAGAGCATTAGAACTATCAGAAGCTGGCAAAAGAAAACAGGTCAGTAAAGCATTTAAAAGATGGGATTAAAGAAAACACGAACAAGAAAGAATTGTAGAAGACCTGGCAATGAATAAAGATGATTGGAGGAGGGCAACATATGTGAAGGATGATGATTCCTGTGAAAGGGAAAAGCCAAAGAAGAAAAAAAAGAGGAAACTGTACACTATGTACATCACATGATCGACTGCTTTGTTTGAACCATAAAAGTCAATAATTTTCCATCAGAGCTTAACAGGTTTGGATGGAAAACACTGACCAGAGAAGGAATGGAATTTTTTTATCTCAGGTTAACTAGAAAGCCAGAAAAATTATAGTAGTTTTCACACAATTTAATCTAGTGAGTGATATGTTTTGGGTTTTCTAAAATTCATATTTGAAACTATGTGAAATATCTTTGAACAACAAAGATGGTAGATGAAAAAAAAATAGGGTTACAGTTACTTACAAAAGCAGATGCTCATAGTTAGATGTTGGGTGATTTTGTTTACCCTAAACTCTCCATATTCCTGTGAGTACTTTATTACTTGTCATGGTGGTCAGGTGTGGTTCAAAGAATTATAAAATATTAAAATTAAGTAAATGTAGTTGTGAAAAATTAAAGGCCTAAAGCTCTTAGAATCCGCAGGTAACTTGAATGAGGTGAAACAAACAGCAAAGTCAGAACTTGGAAGGCAAAATTTATAGGCACTTCACCTAGTCATGTCACACTAAAATACTGTGTAAAGACTCCATACCAACACATGTGTTTGACATGGTTAAATAAGTAAAGACCCCATATCAACACAAGGTGGTCAACATGATAACAAGCCATATCAAGTAAAAACTCAACATATGTTTGGCACAGTAACATACCTGCATTGAGTAGAGACCCTCATAGAAACACAAATGTTACAGTAATATAACTTTATCGAGTAGAGACTCCATACCAACACATGTTTGACAGTAATATAACTGTATCAAGTAGACTTCATATCAACACATGGCAACATTATAGCATCTAGTAAAGAATCTATATCAACACACTTTGACATGGTAACAATGCCATGAGTAGAGAACCCATATCAACACGTCTTTGATGTGGTGACATAATGGTACTGAGTAAATACTATATGAATACACGTTCAACACATGGTAACATAATGCTATTGAATAAATATTCCTTATGAATAAATGTTCAACATATGGTAACATAAGGGTATCGAGTAAATACTTCACATCAACACACATGAAAAATTTACCTTTATTTAGCAGATTACTCTGATCTAAATTACCTAATATCAAATCCAGAAAGGATATTAAAATTGATAAAATATTTAATTAACATTTATAACTGTTTAGGCTTTTGAAATTTTCACATTAAATTACTCGTAATAATGTATTTATTCACCTGAGTAACATTATGTACACAATGGGTTAAAAAGTTAGATATGGTTTATGCTTTCAACTGTAAACTGGAGGGAAGGGGAAAGGCTTGGCAGCACCTGGAGTCTGAAACAGCTACTCTCATTAACCAAATTGCAGGATTCACTGTCACCCCTATGATGCATCTGGAAGTGTGAAACGTATTAGGTAGTATCATGTCTCAAATCCAAGACCCCCAGATCTTTAATCTAAGATGCTAGGCTGTACTTGGGCCTCCAATAATGTAAAAAAAGCATCATTTTAACACAGGAAAGACTAAACATTTTGGAGGGTTTATAATCATGTTTTCTGTTTTTTTTTCACTTCTAAATGACAGTTTCACAGATAGTTTTTTTACATAATATCACGACTTACATGGGGAATCCAATAAATCGTGGCTCTTCATTCTTTCTTCTACTTCACTCACTTCATCAAATGCTAGTTTCTTTTCCATCTGAAGTGTTGCATTTTCCTCCATTAACTCGTGAAGTTTTATTCTGTGTGTGTCTCTCTCCTGCAAATTGGTAAATGTAGATAAGTACATGTATGAGTTTTCTTGAATGTACCTCGAGGTTTTACTGGCAAGAATAAGTATAATATTTGCTGTTATTGTAACAAAATATCACAAATATTAGGTCGTCAAGAAATTAATGTTGCATTTTGGAACACTTTCATTACCCTCCCCCCCAAACGTACATCAAGTATAATAGTTAAACGAACCACTTAAACGTCACATTAGTGTAGCATATATAATGTGTAAAGTTTAGTATACTCTAATCCCTTATAGTGATGGTACACGACGTGACACACATTTAGCATGTAATGTTGTTTGAATACAAGAAGGGAAACAATGCCTCTGTAGCCACAAAGAATATCAAAGAAGTTTATGAAAAATGTTTTGAACGTTCGTAGGTGTCAACATTGGTTCAGCAAATTTCGTTCAGATGACTTTAGCCTTAAAAACTGTGATGTTGGAATTGATATTGATGCTCTGAAGACACTTGTTGAGTCTAACCCAAGGCAACACACTCATGAAATGGCCCTGAAATTGCATGTCTCTCATGAAACAATACATAAACATCTAAAGAATATGGGAAAACTCCATAAAGAAAATGTTTGGTTGCCTCACAAACTCTACGATGATCAACGTTTCCAATGTGTGAGCATTGCTTCATCTCTTCTGGTGCATAATGCGCATGAACCATTTTTGGACAGAATT